ATGTGACAAGTGGGTATAATAAAAAGTAGGACTGTTAGAATGATGATAATGAACGTTTTGTTACATGTGCTTGTAAATATATTGAGGTAGAGTCCACAGAAAAGATTTTCTGATCAAAAGAGGAACAAGGGGATTTTTATAGTGTGTGCGCTTTACCACAAAGGGCAAAGAATCTCAACTGGTTTGCCTGGTCTGAGAACTTTCTCAACATCTCTGAGTTTTATCTATTATTCACAGTTTGCTGAAAAGTGCTTTTTCCTCTGATAGATCTAATAGAGAATAAAATAAATTAATGGTCCCATCCTGGTACATAATTGGCATACTTTGTATTCTTGAGCACAGAGATAGTGTGGCCCAATAGACAGAATATAGGATTCAACTCTAGGGCCCAAATCTATAGGTGGGTGCCTAATTCCTAGATTTAGGCAATTAAATCCCATTTTTAGGCATCACTGCACTTCATTATATAGTCATTCACGATGATTCAATTAATATTTAATAAAATTGGAACAATTTTGCTAGACTGAAGGAAATCCCCAGCAGAATAGTTCATAGTGCAGTGGTTAGAGCATTCACCTGAGAGGGAGCAGATCCCTGTTGAAAGAATATTTTCTCCTTATCAGGTGGAAGGGGGACTTACACATCCCATGTGAGTGTGCTACCCACTGGGCAGCTTGCACCAGCACTATCCTTGCTATTATAGATATGGATGGCCTACTAGTTCATGCCCTATGCGCTACTTAGGCAACGAAGCGTCCATATTTAGAGCCCTGCAAATACACAGCTATCTTCTTTATATATGTGGGTATCTGCCTCCATGGATATGAATGCAGATATCCACAGCTCATTTTTGCAGCTACAGATGTAGATGCGGATACATGTTTTGTATCCACACAGGGCTCTATGCATCTTCCCCCACTTCATCCTTCATTCAGACTTAGGCACCTATCTTCGTGTCAGGAATGAGAGTTAGGGCACATCCCTTTTGTCCACATTTTCTTGTGGCAGCCCCTTCTTAGCACACTGGTTTTGTAGGGTGCATTCTTTTGTCCCTAAGGGTGCGTCTCTTGAAATAAACTATGCAAATTGAGCTACTTGAGTTGCGTAGCTTATTTCAAAATAGAGCGTCTACACAGCACTTATTTTGAAATAGAACACTCTTCCTCCAACTTCCCTTACTGCTTGTGGAATGAGGGTTACAGGCGTCAGAGTAAGAAGTCCTCCAGCTTGACAGTATTTTGACATTATTTCAAAATAACTGCCTGCTGTGTAGATGCAGACAAAGTTATTTTGAAATAACGCTAATTATTTTGAAATAATGTTGCTGTGTAGATGTACCCTTTGGTATTGCAGTGCCTAGAACTGAATATAACATTCCCAGCGTGGCTGCAGCAAATGACCTATTTTTCTCAGCCTCGGTTGCAGAGGTTAACTTTGCCAACACAACTGATGCAAACTCCTAGTTAGCTGATGTAAAACATGTTTAAGAAATTCAATAAGAAGAATCCATAAATAACAACCAGTCTGGTGGTGAGTGCAATTTGATGAATGGAGATTTCTTGAGAACACTCAGGGAAATATTGTGAGAATCCTGGGACAATATCTTAGTTTTGTGACAAAATTCTACAACCATATACAGGCTGAACCTCTCTAGTCCAGCACTATATGGTCCAGCAACATCTATCATCCAGCATGATTTTAGTGAGCCAGATGTCACTTATCATGAGTGTGGTTAAGTTTCCCGCAATCCCGTTAATAACTAGTGTTATTTCAAAATAATGTTGCTCTGTAGACATACCCTAACTCTGGTATCTTGAGTTATTCCTAGGTGCCTAATAGAAATCGTATATTTCCAAATTCTGAGCCCTGCCACTTACTGTTGGGAATCAACATGATATGAACTAGGCCAGTGGTGAGCTCTTCTGAAGAGCCTATCCTTAACTTTTGTCTTGGATTCTCCAGTTGTAAAATATGCAATGCTACCCAGTTTCAGTGGATAGTGCAAAGGCTAGTTAACATAGGTTTAGTGCTTTGTGAAATGATAAGCATTGGGGAGTGATGCTAAGTGTTATTTCCTGTACATAAAATATTGCACAGATTACAAAAGCTAATTCAATTATTATGTACAAATCAAATTTATTGCATTAAAGGCAAAATCTTTCTGAAACTGGATGCACCATAGCTCCTGCACCATTGTGTTAATGAAAAAGTCCATATGAAAAAATTGGAAAGGACTATCTTGGTCCAATAAAAGCGTATTTTTTAAAAGTTTCAGTGGAAGATTCAGTTTTGATTTCAGAATACATTCCCCAGCAATGTATGTAACCACAACAGCTCAGTGATTCAAGAGAACATGAAAATAACTAAATTGACAAAACAAAAGTGAAATTGCCTAGTTATTTTCATTGCCCAAAACTGAGGAAAAATGTAAAAAGAAAAACTAGTGAAAAGTAAGATTTTTTTGAAATTAGTTTTACTTTGATAAGGTAATTAAATGTGACTTTTAACTTGATAGTACTATCCAGACTCCATTGAATCCTGAATTGCAGCTTTGCCGCCTCAGGATAAGTTTGGTTGCTTTTTCATGGTAAAATAATCTCTTGCACAATGGTTGACCTAAAAGAAATAGAACAGTTAATGTTATGCTGTAAAGTTTTATCTTGTTGGGAATGTAGCTGTGGGGCTGTTACATAGCTCCTATTTGAGCCTTTAAAATCAATACAAAATCACAAGTTCTGGGGAATAGCAATTCTGTTGCTTCAGCTGGGAGAGAAAAGCTAGAAGCTACTATTACATGGAGACTTTGACCATGAATAAATTATACTGGCATTGTACAATTTAGCCCAACATAGTTTTAGATGTCTGTGTCATTTGACCTTAACCCACAATCTTAGGCAGAAACGTTCTAAATGTTTTCTTTAAAAAGGTCCTTACCAAAGAGTAACCAGTTCAAGGAAATCAAGGACAAAGCTCAGTGTTCCTTGAAAGTATTACATAGTATACTTTAAAGCAAAAATAAGAATTTTAAAGATAGTTGCATATGAAAACATTATTTTCATCAGGCCTTAGAAGATACAGGTCATGGGAC